CTACGAAATAGCATGGGAGATCAAATGTTGAATGATTGTTTAATTACTTATTTGGAGAATGATTTGTTTTTGAATGTTAGCATGGAAGATATCATGAATCGATATCAAAACATGAAAACTCGTCGAGAACTATTGTAATAAGTTTGCATTACTATTTAGTTGTCTTTTGTAGTATTATATGAACATTTGGTTGTATTTTGTACTGTTTGAATATTTGGATGTATTTTTTAGTACTATTATTTGGTTGTTTGGTAAATTTTTTTTTTTACGTATTTGATTATCGATTGTGACTCACCAGTCGGAAAATCCTGGGTCCGCCACTGCAATCAACGTTTGTAGTTTGATAGAGTTGTAGTAATTCCTTGTAAGTGTAGTTTCATCCTTGTTAAGTTTGCTTTCTGAACTTCTCATTGCTTAATTGGTTTTTATACGAATCTTGAGCTTGTTTTACATGAACATTTCTTACCATAATCTAAATTGTTAAAAAAAAAGGTGAAGTGAATATTGTTTTTATTTATAGGCCAAGTTTAGCTAGAGATGATTGGTATCAACATAATTTACTTACAGCATCCTTACTTTACATACACCTTTTTAAAATTTATTTTTTCAATACTACGAGTACTATTACATGTTTTCGAAATGTGAAGCACAAATTGCATAAAAATAGATATAAATATAGATCTAGTGTGCCAAGAAATAAGCCTGAGGCAAATGCAAAGCCAGCAATAGCAAGATTAGCAACCAAAACAAAAATTCAGAAAAGTTCCAAAAAGGCAGAGACAGTTACTCTTTGATTCTAACTACTCTGTCTCTTGCAATTCAGTGGCCTACCACTACTTTTTTCAAAATAATAGTCATGGCCACAAAGCACAACAAAAGCAAAGATAACATTAAAAAGTTGTTACTCAACAAATTTGTGCAAAAAGAACATGATTTAGAGCCTTAATTCAAAGTTTTTAAAAAAAACTACAATCAGAAACACCTGTCAATTGAATCTTTGTCATTTAAATTCAGAAATTTAAGATTTTGGATTCCTTAATAATTACTGATAATTTGCTGTCATCTTTGGGACAAAACAAATTATTGCTTCATCTTTTTTTATGATCTCTTTTTAAATCCTCCAACCAATCAATGTCAAAACTTTTTTGAAAAACAGTTTAAGCTATGATAGAGAGCTAAGTAATTGTATACAAAAGGTGCTACATTTAATGATTACTTTGCATTATAAATCAGTGAATTTGAACATAGTATTACATTGGAAACTTTTGAATTACTAGCATCATACAGATCCACTTGTAGGGGCTCTTTCTTTTGTTTAGCTCTAATAATAAGGAGAGTTAGTTAGAAGAATGATTTATTATTTGGATATGCTTAATAATATTACTAATCTTTCATGACTTGAAATAATTATATACTCCTTTTATCCAAATCATTTGTTTTTCACATTATTAGTTCAAATTACACTATCAACGTGACTATCAATTCTGGACAATTGAGGAACTACATAAAGTAAAAAAACCTAACTTGATAAAATTTCAGCCAAGTTCATTGCGGATCTAAAGTTATATGATGAAATAACTCTCCAACAGGTGCAAGTAATTTCCCTTGAGTCAATTTGAAGAAAGTTTCCCCGGCCAAGACAAAGTAAGAACCTTCAAGTCTACGTTAGTGGTTAGTCACATAGTGTTGGGATGATCTATCAAGCCTCAAGTTAAAATTTAGACACAAAGAGATGTATTGCATAAGTATGCCATCATATAGTCACAAAAGTAAGTAACATATAAAATCAATAAACAAAGTAAGAATGTTCATATGAAATTTAGAAACAAGATTCACAACTCATGAAGCTAAGGTAGTTTAATTTCACATGTCAATATGTGACAGGCACAAGAAGCTGGAGAGCAATCATACCTGTAAAAGGCAAGGCAACTTCTCTCCTACCCTGTCTTGGTCCTTAAGGCTTTAAATAATTTTCCATTTTATGCCCTTTACCTTTTTTTTTTTTGTTTGTTTAAATGTTTATAGTAACAGGATTGTATGTAGGTGACCCTTTACTGTCCAGGCCAATCCTTGAGCAATCTTCTACTTCAAGCACCCCTCTACCAAGATAACAGAAAGATTTACTGTCACTCTTTCATATATGTATGCTTTAATTTCTCTCATATATATATTATTGTTCTACTCAATTTATAAGAAAAGGGCATGTCAGAAATAAATATGGTTGGACAAACTAAGGCCTTATGACTATGGGAACAAAAGGATAAGTTTTCATATTAGAGTAGATTGTGCAGATAAGTTATAATGAGCGAGTCATGTTTAGAGCAGATTAAGTGTGAATGTGTGATGGTCTGGATGTCCTGTAAATGACCAGGATGTCCTGTAAATGACCAGGATGGACTTAATAATATCGAACCTTAATTGTGTTTTGGTATACTTGACTGAATTGAGCACATGTGGGCATATATGTGGGCATTGGAGAATATAAACCCACCAAGGTTCCATCCTAAAACCAATTATTGGTGAAAGGGTGAGTGTAGCCCATCAATCTTATGTATTTTAGTCATTCTCCCTGTATTTCTTTAATGTGTGACAACTCGTGTCAACTCATGTGGTCTTTTTTACTAACAATTTGTCTATTACATACTGAAATCACTTTTTTTTTTTTTTTTTTGATGAGTATTACTAAAATCACTTCAGCACATTATAGTTGCAAATTATTTCACAAGCATTTAATTATTGGGCCTACTATTATGAGTTTCATTTTTTTTAAAAAGGATATAAGTAATGGAGGGTAAATACCAATCATAAAAATAAAAATTATGTACTAAAAGTTTGGATAAAATGTACATAGGAACAAATTATGTTGTTAGATGAATTTGCCAATTCACCAACTTAAGAAAATAGCAATCCTACCAAAGGAGGTCCATCACCAATGTTTAAATCCATATATAGATATTAAGTGAGGTGTATTAAAACTTTACTACAACTCAATTATTTAGATCAATTTTAGAGATGATCTTTCTTTTATTGAAAGAAGAAGAAAAAAGGAATTTTATTGGGACCTTCAGGCTACAAACTGTCCCTTAGAAAAAGGTCAGGAATTTCTCACTTTCACTACTTTTGTTTTTGTATTGTAAATTAAAGAGTAACAAAATAGGCAGTTTAGTCATTTCATGTTAATGTATAATAGTATATTATATCATACATAATACATTATAGTATACGCTTTTTAAAAAAGATACCTGTAAATACTATAGTTTAATTTAATTTCATAAGTTGATTCATTGCCTTAAAAGCCAAACTTGATGAGAATCCAATAAGCAAACTGTGTAACAGGAAAATAAAGAAAGAAGCTAAGCTAAGTGCTGTTATAAAACAACAAAAGAGGTGCTATATATTTTGAAGATCAGGTGATTTGGTATATTGGAAATAATGACAACACCAAAACAGATTTGGGAGCAACAACATCAAGGGATGAAGACTAAGAATTCGGGTACTATGAGTTTCATGGGAAGTCCTAATATGGAAGACAAGGATGAAGAGATGTCGAAGTCGGTCTTATCGGCTTTTCGAGCCAAGGAAGAAGAGATCGAGAAGAAGAAGATGGAGGTTAAGGAACGTGTTCAGGCTCATTTAGGTCGTGTTGAAGAGGAAACTAAGCGTCTAGCTGAGATTCGCGAGGTATGTTTTTTTTTACCTCTTTTAAGGGGCTTTCGAGGTTTTCATTTGAATTTGGTCGGGTTTTTCTTAGGTAGGTTGCTTTGGGTTAGGTGATTTTACTTTTAGTTGGTATTGTCGGGTTTAATTTGTGTTAATGAATCTAATTTTTCGAGTCTTAATTCAATGTCCATATTAAGCAATTCGTTATTAATTTGAATTTGAAATCATATTTTTAGCAATAGTACCATGAATAATTTGTAAGGGTGTACCTAAAATTTTAGGAACTAGAAGCATTAGAAGATCCAAAAAGGAAGGAAGTTGCATATGTTCGAAAGAGGATTGACACTATCAACAAAGAGCTAAGGCCACTTGGATTTACATGCCAGAAGAAGGTAAACTTTTCACATCTTTCGCTGTTTTTTTATAAATTTTGTTTTAGGATCTTTGTTAACATCGGTTAATGAATTGAATTAAAATAGTTTGTTGAATGGTCTTTGCTTTTTTAGTATTTACAAAGTATATACATTTGTTGTTTATTTGGTTTAAGGGTCAATTGGAAACAATCTCAAACTAAGATTAATTATGTCCAACAACCTCTTTTGTCATCTCATCATAGGCGAGAGTATCTTTAGAAGTTGTTGCGTAAGAGACTAGAAGTGTACTAATAGGTTTTGACTAGATTATTGTTTCGAGGAAAGTTTTATAGTAGTCATCTTTTTTATATACTCATTTGATTTTGATAGGAACGAGAATACAAAGAAGCTCTTGAATCCTTCAATGAGAAAAGCAAGGAAAAATCTCAGCTTGTTGCCAAACTAATGGAGGTAACAAAAGTAATCACAACTTTCATCTATTATTGGTTTCAATATTTACTTAAATTAATCACAAATTTTAATTATTTAATTTTAAATAATTATTCTTATATAATTTGCAGTTGGTGAGTGAAAGTGAGACTCTGAGGTTCAAGAAGCTGGAGGAGCTCGGCAAGCATATTGAATCTCTTCATTGATTTATTTTTATAATTCTAATTCAGTATCATTAACTGGCTGATTTTTAGCACTTTTTTCCTTTTTATTTTGGCGTGGTTCACTAGAATTGATTTGTTTGATTTTGTGTATTTTAATATTTTTGGGGTTACAGAATTCATATTGTTAGCTGGACATTTTAGAGAACTTGCTCCATCTGGAAATTGTTGTGTTCAAATGTGAATAATATGTGTATTATACTTCTATAATACTTGAGAAAGTTTTCAGATTTGTATACAAATTTTGTGCATTATGGAATATCTTGTGTTATGTATGTTGCTTGTTGATTAAGATTAATATGCTAAACGGAAATAAAATTCACTTACCTCAATCATTTGTTGCGCTTTGTGTACAAGGCTATATTTGTGTACAAAATTGTAAAGATGTCTAAGTTACGGTTACTAAGAATGATGAATATCATAGAGTAAATAGATTATTTATATATAAAAAAAAAAAAAATAAGACAAATTATTTGCTTAATTGCCCCTCAACAATATATGCCAAAGTTTGTACACATATTTCATATTTTCAATTCAATATGCATTATGCCAATCAATCTATAACATACTAGTATAGTACTAAAACAGATACCAGGAATGACACGTGTCACTTTCTGGTACTGTTTTTTCCCTTCAAAATTGTTTTCACTTTTTTTTTTGGCCGATGATATCAATTGATATCAATTACTTAGGGACCCTTTGGTTTGTACATGGTAAACGGAATAGAATGAATAAAGAGAATGAAAGAGAATATAGAATGAAACCCTTTCTATGTACTATGTTGTTTGTTTTACAAAAACAAAGAGAATCACCACCACCACCACACAACCCCTCTTTCCCACTTCTCCAGCCACGACCTCCCCACCCCTCACCGCCCGTCGTCGAACCTCCCCTACCCCTCGCTACCCCGGAAAACCTTCCCCCGCACACGCAAAACCCTAGAAAACGATCCTCCTCCTCTTAAAACCGCCAATCGTCCCTTCTATTTGTTTCTCATTGCATGTCATGCACTTATAATAAAAAAAATTAGTTATCTTCAAGATTTGAACATTCAACCTCTAATTCCAAAATTAAATGTCTACCACCAAATTATGTGACATTTTATGTTATTTTTAGAATACAAAATATTAATATCCAGCGAATGACAATATGAATAAAAATTTTAATTACTAGAAAATTGGGTCATAAATTAAAAAGTATATTAATGATTAATCCCGTAATGTGAACCGGGACATCACAGAGGCCTAAATAATAGATTAAAAGTAAATCTCGTCTATAGTCTAATGGCCCGAACCCGACCCCCTCCCAAAAAAAAACACTAACAACTTGGCATGAAGGATCACTAACTAAACATTACTCCGTAATCCACATCAAACAATTTGGAGGATGCGAAAAAATGGAGCTCCAAAACCCTAACAATGGCGGAGGAGAAACTAAACCCAAATTAGTGGTGATTATGGGTCCAACCGGGTCCGGAAAATCAAAATTAGGCATTGATTTAGCAACCCATTTCCCGGTTGAGATCATCAACGCTGATTCCATGCAAGTCTACCATAGCTTGGATGTTCTCACCAACAAACTCACTCTTTCTGAGCAGAAAGGTAACTTCTTTCTCTTTCTCCCTCTAATTTCTCTCTTTAGTTTCTCTCTCTAGTTTTTCTGAATTTGGGGTTTTGTGTTGCAGGAGTGCCGCACCATCTTCTGGGAACAATCAGCCCTAATGTGGAATTCACTGCAAAAGATTTCCGAGATGCTGCTATTCCTGTAAGATTTTGCACCTTTTTTTTTTTTTTTTTTTTTTTTATAATTTTTGTAGCTGCTAATTTGGGTCTGATTTGAATTCTGGTTTTATGAACTCTTTATCGGGTTAATAGTGATTATGTATGCATTATTATTTATTATGCGTTAAGCTCCTAATTTAGAAAGGGTGATTTCCTGACGGTAATGAATAGTCGCGTTGATAGTGTAATTTGAACTACCCCGGCCTGAGGAGTGGTTTGCTTCCCTATTTTGCCAGGCATTGTTGTTGAATTCATGGAATGAAGACTAGTAGTTGATAATTATGCCAACAATTTCCCTCTTATAGATGAATATAGGTCCATTTTGCTTCTCTGTTGTAAATAAGTAGACCAAATTACAGACCTGTGTTCGTAAACTTTGGAATTCTGATTTTCTTTACATCAATGTATGTTGGTAATTGATTGTTTTGGATAAAACTGAATGATAATCGAGGAGGCGTTCTTGTTCTATCTTATAAGCATCAACAGTTGCCGCTTATTAGGTTATTTGTTCAGTAGCTTATTTTTGTTTTGGGATAATGAATCTCATTGGCATCTGATGCTGCCTTTTCGAAGTTAAATTGCATTTGATGCTCTCTGCTAGAATTTGGAACCTGTTATTCTCCTTGTGTTTGTGTTGGGGCGGGGGTAGGGTTCAAGGTGGGGGGAGTTGGGGGGGGGGGTAAGGGGAGGGTAACACCCCAGTCTATGTACTTTGTCCATACTTGAACACACCTTAGGAAACTTTCTTAAGATCACCTATCCCAAGACTAGTCTTACTCAAAGCACTTATATTGAAAAGTGGAGTGTCTCGTTGTTTTGGTGGAAGGGATATATTTCATATAAATCAATCACTTTCCTTGTAATCTAATGATGTGGGACTTTGGTATGTCTCAATAAGTCAAGAGGAAGGATGGGGTGAGGAAGTGGGGGTGATTTAACTAATCTTTTCCTTTGACCCGCATCTGGTTTCTTATTGTTGCAACTGTTTTGTGTGATAAACTTCTGGAAAAACTAGTTGTAAATTTGCAATTTGTGATTGGAAGAAGTGTATTATGGAATTGCAGATTTTTTTTTTTAATTTTTTTTTGTTTTTTTTTGTTTTTTTTGTTTTTTTTTTTTTTTTTTGTAATTTGTGGTATTAGCATTTAGATTCACTGTCATTGGCATATGGAAATCTGCCCCTTTAGTTTTCATATGCATTTTTTGCTGGCTGTGGTTTCCTAATTATCGTCCTTTGGTAGTTCGGCATTTTTTAAAGATAATTCATCATTATTTTAATACAGAAGCGATGTGTGTTGCTATGTGTAACAACATTTGTTGGATTTTCAGATCATCAAGGATATTTTATCTCGCAATCATTTGCCCGTTATAGTTGGCGGTACTAATTTCTATATACAGGTATGATCTTTGGTTCATTTTGGCCTTTTAAGCTTTCTAGCTATGTAGCCGTATTTCCTACAAAAAAAATTATTTGGGCAATTTTAATTATACATACTCTCAAGTATGGTGTATTATGTTTTCTTTCTTTGCATAAGCCCTCAATTTTTCTGAATCCTAGTTGTCTGTACATTGGAAATTAAGTAATGCTCTTATTCTCTACTTATTTCATATTTTTTAGTTGACAGAGTTGACTTTTGACACTATGTTAAAACTCTAATGAACGGAGGAAGAATATATCTAGCCATTTCATTCTGGTTTTTATGTACCTGTTATGGTCTATTGTACCTAATGATGCTACTTAATCTGTGTTGCATGCAGGCTCTTGTGAGTTCTTTCCTGCTTGATGATTCTGTTGAAGAAATAAGTGATTCATGTATAAGGGAGAATTCAGGTAAACATAAAGGTTATCATTTGGTAGAAGAAAGTCTATTGTACCTAATGATGCTACTTAATCTGTGTTGCATGCAGGCTCTTGTGAGTTCTTTCCTGCTTGATGATTCTGTTGAAGAAATAAGTGATTCATGTATAAGGGAGAATTCAGGTAAACATAAAGGTTATCATTTGGTAGAAGAAAGTCTATTTATCTTCTTATCTACACCTATTGTTTTCTTTAAAAGCAAATATCTTGAATCTTCATTGCAAATAAGCACATTTCACAACAATTTAGATCTTCTTGTCAGGCTATGATCATAATATAAACTTTTCTTTTGTAGATGTTGCTAATCTGCAAAAATGTGAACTTTTTGAGCAAGGCAGTTGTGATTACAGTTATGACCGCCTTAGAGACCTGGATCCTGTGGCAGCGAACAGAATACATCCAAATGACCATAGAAAAGTAATATTCTCAATCTCACATTCCATGTCCATCATTTTGAATTATTATTTGGAGTTAGGGAAGGGGTTAAAGATATGGGTGACAATAAAGATATTTTGCTAAGATACCCCTTGCAATGCTTCTGGACCATCATTTGACTAATATTCAGTGATAAGACTGATAACCTTAGAAATTTCTTGAAGTTGATCAATAAAGTGAATTTGATGCAGTTTAAGGCCAAAATTGAGTATAATACTGTTGGGCCGTTGGATAATGGCTATAATAGATCAGAATATCGGCTGTAAACTGCATCATTTATTTGGTGATTAAATTCTATTCACCACCCCCCAAAAAAATATAATTGTTTGAAGTCATGCCTGCTGCCTATCTATCTTTTCTGTTAAAGTTGCTTGACTTTTATGGTCTGATGTTTCTGCTAATTACTTTCATTGATTTGTGGTGAATTTGTTGAATATTTTGCAGATTAGGCAATATTTAGAGTTGTTCACTCGTTCTGAAATCCTCCCTAGCCAACTCTTTCAGGGAGAAATGACAGAGGTTTGTATTCTTAAGATATGAAAGGACTATTTTGGAATTGACTTTGTTATATTGGGAACTTGGCTTGATTAGGTAGACTTGTATATCCATCTTGTATCTGGATCAATGCCTGTTTTTGCATGCTGTTCAGCCTTTTTTGACTGCTTGCTATAATTTTATAAGCAAATAGGGCCTGTACTGGGAAAATATAAGAAGATAGAGTTGCTAACTATATTTGAAAATGAAATTCTCTTTCATGGCATGGCATCATCTTTATGCATCTTTTTGTGTAAGTTTCAGTTTTTGTGGTCAGTCAAGGAGCTGGAATTAAGTCAAATCTTGGATCTTTTGCTTAAAAATTGTTTCACTTTTATGTGGCAGACAGAAATGGGGTCGTCTTGGTTGTAATTCAAGATGGAATTGCTGTTTTGTTTGTGTTGACGCATCTCTTTCTGTACTAGACCGATTTGTGGACCAGAGAGTTGATCGGATGATTGGAGCTGGTTTGCTTAATGAAGTTTATGACATTTACAACCTGAATACAGATTATACACGAGGTCTGCGACAGGCTATTGGAGTAAGGGAATTTGAGGATTTTCTTTGTGCTAAAATTTCTGAAGTGAGGAAGGAGCGGAACAATTCTTTCCAAGATACAGCTTCACTGAATAATACTGATATATCTCTCAGACAAGATTTGAAGGAAGTTTCAAGTTCCTCTTCTGATACCCCAGATAGGCGCCTATTGGAAAAAGCTATTTCCAAACTAAAACAAAACACCAGACGACTTGTTCGTTGGCAAGTAAGCTTTTTGTCTACCGCCTTATATTTATTTCACTTTTTATTTTTAATGATGGATGTGAACCCACAAATTGCAACTATGCTGTACTTGTGCACTTCCAAATTTTCGGGTTCACTGTCGTTTTAAAAAGGGAGGGATGCTATGATATTTTCTTATAAACTCATTAATTTCCGTCCTCCACAAATGTCCTTATCTATCTTCACATAGTCATTTTCACTTTACTGAGTCAGAGGAAAGATCTTGCCAGGGATTGCTTCAACTCTTTGCCCCAAAAATAAAGTTTATCTTCAGTTCTGACACATATTAAGGACAATCATATTACAATAGACAAATTTTTTTCTCTTTAAACAATTTGCCTCTATCAAAAGTATCATTTCCCCAATGAATCAATCAATTAATTAGGTATATTTGAGGATTATACATTATTACTTTGAAAAGGAAAATAAGTCTTCTTTTCTAGGAAAATATAGAGTAACTTGTATGATTCTCTTTTCATGGATTCAATTTTCAGATCCTTCGGATCATGTACACTAGAGGGATTTAGGGGCCGTTTGGTTGGGGGTATTCATCATAGGGTATGGGAATCAACTGTCCTCATTCCCTTTGTTGTTTTTTGTTAGGCCTTTTTCCCCAATCCCTTTACTCTCCATTCCCCCAAATCCTTCCAACTTGATTCCCCACCCCCTAGGTTTATCCATTCCCTTTCCTTAGCCACCACTACACCACCATACCCACATCAGCCACCACCTTCCTACCCTACCCCCACCACCCAGCCGGCTCGCCGCACCTCCCCTGCCCCTCGCAACCCTCTGAAAAGCCCTCTCTTTCCCCGAAATTCACCCCCGCTAGGGTTTCGAGGATAGGGGGAGAGGCGGCCTGCGGTTTTTTGGGGAGGGGGACTGGTTTCTAGGGTTTTGCGGGGGTGGGGGGTGTTTTCGGGGAGGGGAGGGCTTTTAAGGGGGAAAGGAGTGGCGGCGAGGGGTGGGGGGGGGTGGAGAGTGGTGGCTGGGTGGTGAGGTGGCTGGAAAAGGTGGAAAATGAAGGTAATAGGTGGTGGTGTGGTGGTTGGGCTGGTAGCTTGATTCCCCCTGTTAAAACAAACAACATAGTAAATTTCAGGGTTTTTCTTTCCCTTTGTTCATTCTATTCCGTTTACCCCGTGCAAACCAAATGGCCCCTTAATTGCTGGTCATTATTGTTATTTTGCAGAAGAGGAGGATAAATCGATTGCAGACATTATTTGGATGGAACATACATTTTGTAGATTCTACTGAGTCTTTACTTGGTAATCCTTTTGGAGTTTTTCTGTTTTTGACATCTCCTGATGGACAAATATTTCATCTTGAGAGTTCTACCGGTCTGTTTCAATTATTTTTAATCTTATGAAACACTGATTTTTCAGGAAATTCAGAGGATACATGGATTTGCCAAGTGATTGAACCAGCTGCAAAAGTAATAAGCTCTTTCCTCAATTCTGATGTGACCTCAGCTTCAGATGATACTGACCACTTGGTCCAAAAACTCAATGAGAGAGATCTATGGACTCAGTACACGTGCAAGGTACAATTAACCTTGAATAGATATTATACCCATTGTGTGATGAAGCTACTATCTTTGATGCACAGAAACTCTTGAGGATTGTGTTACTGTTCTCAGTTCTTACCCCATAAATTTTTATAATTTCTATAAATCAACCCTAATTTCTTTCTTAATGTATGTTTTTGTTGATAATAGTGAAATATTTTTAGGTTTCTGGACAAAAGTATTGGTACATTATTTTAGCTTTTGCATTTCCACATTTCATAGTTTGAAAATTGCATTTCTTGTTTCCTTGTTTTTGCTTTTCTATTTTCCATGTCTGCAACATTGGCAGCTAATTTCGAAGATTTTGAATTATTTTCTCTCTTGCTCCATTTTTGTAGGCATGTGACAAGATCCTTCGTGGTGCACATGAGTGGGAACAACATAATCAAGGGCGTGGACATAGGAAACGGATGGCAAATCTAAAGAAGCGTCAAGGTTCTTTCTTTACCGTCTCTTTACAGCTTCCGGGGGGTGACTGCGTAAGTTCAGATGCATCACAAGTGTAATGACGCTAAACATCATACTTTGCTGTCTTTCTTAAATCTTTATTTTGGAGATTGGGGTGTGGTCCGTGTGGAAAGGAGCTGTTTGGGAGAGGTGGTCTTTGATGTTTTCTAAGTTAATGTGTGATGCTTACATGAATCCCTAGTTCTTCCTGTGTATTATAGAGTGCTGAATACATCAGGAGGGAGTAGTCGTTTATGTATTGCTGTTGCTCATGTTATTGTATGTTACATATGCACTAATTACACATTTACACCTATTTTTGCATAAGACTGATACATTGATATTACAAATTTTGGGGTTTAACTTACATGTTGCACTACAAGTTCATATGAGTATGAGATTAATGGTTACCCCCTTTTTTTTTTTTATGGCGTGGTGGGTGTGATTTTCAGATTGTGTCTATCTCATATTGATCTCCCCAGCCTCATGCCTGCCTAGTTGCCTTAGTTGCCTGTATAAGGTACAGTTGGTCATCAATGATTGATTTTTTTCTTAATGTTAATAGTCACAATGTTAAGTATTACATACTTATTTGGTAAGTGTTAGAATTGTTTGAAGGTGGCCAATGGTAAGGTAGATCCTGTGTAAATAAGATGAGTATGTATGGGTACTTAGGGTGAGTGTTGGGGCAAGGATGTAGATGGTCCTTCAAACGACCAAATGCCTTTTCAAATGACCAATTTTGGGAAATTTTCTCAAAAATGAAGTAGATGTGTGGGATGTCCCAGGGTCAAATAGTTGGTTTAAAATTATAAGAGATCTATAAATATGTTTATTAAGTCTCGTGAATGAGGTTGGTTTAGTTATGCTACTATTTCAGGATTATGTTGCATTGGTAGTGAAAAGCTATAAAAGATAATAGTTGTTTACATGACCAACTTGGCATCTCGGGGTTTAGATGTCAGGAACCCTTATCTTCGTTGGATTTTAATTTTTATATACACCCAAAAACATTGCTTATCATAACATTAATAAATAACATTAGTATTAGAATTTAATTAAAATGGAGTTTTGAATAATTGCCGTAAAGTTGTTAATGGAAAGCTAGTTGAAGATAACAAATGTTACTAACAAACCTCATGTAAGTTATTAACAATTTTTTAAACAATATAACCATGTTTTTTAATTGAGGAAGCTATTGGTCGGTGATATTAAGTTGCTAAGCTAGTCAAGCATTACTCGATGGTATCTTAAATGACTGTATCAATTGCATAAACATTGTTTAAAATAAAATGTTTTTGTTATTGTTGCCAAGTCTAATCAACAACTATTAATACAGAAAAACGTTCGTTTAGGTTTTAGGAATAAAAGTCTATCACATCCAACCTAAAAAGTTATTTGAGGTTGGATTTAAAAAATATAAAATATAAAAAATTTATTATTTCGTGCATCACGAGTTCACCATGCCACCACCGTACTTTTAAGAGTGGTATCTAGTTATTTGCCATGGATTTTATTATTGTTGTGGTAGGGTATATTTGTAACTATTGTTATCCTCAAGCATGATTTGTGAAGTGTGAACCATCCTTAATCTGTTCCCAACCTGTCACAAGCCCCGATTGACCCACAACCTAACCCATGTGGTCAACCCCATCCTGTCTATGAGCAATCTAGCCCAACCTGCAACCCTGCTTGGTTAAAGCTTGCGACTCCTTTTTAAGTCCAAGCCGACGATCCTAGCCCAATTTGGATCAACATATGATTTTTCCTTTTGGAAGTTTCACAATACATGAAGAAATTTTACTTCGAGGTTGCACCGGTTTATCTAGTTGATAAACTAGGGATGCTTATCGGGGGGGTAAAAACCTTTAATTTTAGGGTTAAATTGCTACCCTAAAACTGCTACCAATGTTAGCGGTTATTATACCTATAATTAGTGTAAAAAATACCTTATTTATTTATAAGTTTGCCATTTGATAAATAACAAAAAAGAAAAATGTTGCAGTTATGAAAAAATGTAAAAAAAAAAAATATTGCTATTATTACAAAACGAATGAAGTAGATAAATTTATATCTTTTCACTTACTATTATATAATTATGAATTTGATTTTCATTTTTCTATTTTTATTTATTTAATTATTTATTTATCTATTTTTATGGTGAAACTACTTCTAGTTGATAAACTGGGGACTCCAAGTACATATTATAGGTCTTATGGTCATGACTTTGATACCAGCCATAGCATGTTATTAATCATTTTATTACTCTATTGAATTATTCAATTTATATGCTAACTTTGACAATATGTTGATATAATAATAAATGTATGTTTTTTTATATTTATATTATGAATGTTACTTTATACGTTTTTTTTTTTTTTTTTTTTTTTTTTAAGATACATATAAACATATCAATAATTAACATTGTGTATTGATACATGCGACATGTAAAATGATACTCTTAATTTGAAACAGAAGTTGGGGGTATGACATGGACAATAAGTCCATTGGGTTTTTTTGATGTAAACAATCGTCTAATTTCTTATCAATGTAAGACACTAACATAGTCACATGTGATATTTTACAAGAGCTTCAACAACAATTTTACCACCATGTGATAATTTATGAGACTAGAGCTTCAACAACAATTATACGGAGTACTAACTAGCACTAGCAAACTTTAGTTTCTATAGTGGGGGACAAAAATCAAAGCAAACAAACGGCGTCAAAACTTTGGTGACCTACAACATCAATCACCAGCTATTTCTATCTTTTCGCCTTCACAAAACCATCCTTCATGTCCCGCCGTTATCTATTCAGCACGTTCTTTTTAAATTTGTTTTTGGTGTCCCACAATCCCATTTTTTTCACGTGCTCCATAACATTCTTTTTTTCGTCACGTGTGATGTGTGAAGTGTGACATGCCAAATTATAGAATCCTGGGTCGCAAGCAGTGATTCGATTGATGATGAAGAAAGAGAATTCTTAGTTCAGTTTTCCACTTTAACGACAGAAAAAAGGATTGATCAAATTTTATTGAGTCTGACTCATAGTGATCATTTATCAAAGAATGACTCTGGTTATCAACTGATTGAACAACCGGGAGCAATTTACTTATGATACCCAAAATAAAATCATACATATATTTCCATTTTTTGACCCATGAAGTAACTCCATTTCCCAATATCATCCTCACATTTATTTCAAACCTAGCTAAGCTATGAACCCACAAATATCATCCCAAGTACCATACTCACCTCCATCAAGTGGTGGCGAGTCTGACGATACAACATCCTTGGACTCGCCTAGTATCCAATCAGCTCCACCACTCAGCACCTTACTGAGTGGTGAAGCTGCATGTCCTCCCCATAAGCGGAAGGCAGGGAGGAAAAAATTCAAAGAGACTCGCCACCCTATTTTTCGTGGGGTTCACGAGAGAGATAGAGGGAAATGGGTGTGTGAAGTACGTGAGCCTAACAAGAAAGTAGGATATGGTTAGGGACTTACCCTACGGCAGAACTTGCAGCTAGGGCACACGACGTTGCAGCCCTAGCTCTAAGGGGTGACAAAGCTGCTCTCAACTTCCCTGACTCGGCTTGGCTTGCTCCTCGAGCTAAGTCTAGCTCAGCTCAGGACATTAGGCTCGCGGCTTTACAAGCCACTAGGTCCGATCATTGCTCTTCCTCACCTTGTGAAGGTAATAAGAGTGAAGATATGGGAGAAAGTTCAATGAGGTTTGATTCCAAAGAGTTATTGTTTATTGATGAAGAAGTAATATTTAATATGCCAGCTTTCCTTGATAGCATGGCTGCCGGTATGCTTCTTACACCGCCTTATCTAAAAAGAGGGGTGAATTGGGATGAAATGGATGAAGATGGGGCTAATTGTCATATAGATTTAAATTTGTGGCAATATAGCTAGATTAGAAATTTGTGTATAACATCATTTTAGGGCAATAAATAAAATGTGAGACTGTAAGCGTGAGCTAGATTTGTGAAAAGCTAGCTATATATATTCATGAGCTGCAAGGTTTATACATAATGCCTTTAACTACCCAATCTCCGGTGCTTTAGTAGGCCGTGATCGAGTGGTTCCATTGTCTTCTTTGATTCATTATAGTTTTAGATTCAAGATCATTATTTTGGTTGAAATATATGTCTTTTCATCTTAATAATATTGTCAAAGCATGAATATATATAGTGGACCAAATTGATAACATTAGTTCCCAATACACTGGAGGATTGAGTAATAAAGCTACTCTACTACCTATAGCCAAAAGACCTCCACCACTCAACTTTAAAGGTGAATGATTGTTGCAAGAAACTTGTTGAGATGTACTAGGTGGTACTCAAGGAATTGAATCTCATCTACGTCATTTTTTTAACGATTCTTTTTATTTACACCAAAAAGGGTGGGGGGGTGGTTGGGTTTCGACCACGTCACTTAAGAAGAACTTTAGCCCTAAATGAAACAGTTGAAGGGTTATTGAGACAACAATAAAGGAATTACCTATACAAGTATACATATATACAGGCTTATCATGTAAAAGAAAAAAAAAAAATCAATGTTTTATTATTTATCAAAACTTTAGTTTAAAAAAATCGTAGTTTAATGAAATTTTATTCCAGGACCACACTATCCATCAAGTGAATGATATAAAGTTTTTCATTATGGAACTGTAGTGCATGAATTATTTGGTGATGTATATGTGGCTGTCTTATATTATTTAAATTGTTGCTACATACTCGTGTTATTATTCAATGGTTAGTTATTTCTTCATCATGTATAGGACCATCTTCTTCTGTGGTACCGCGCTACCGGGCTCCTATAAGGGCATTTTATGCTCACCAATTCAATATCTTCCCACATACTTGAATTCATTTCTGTTTTCCCATTACTTTACTTATACATTCAATATAATCCTGTCTTTTGATAATACTTTGAATTCCTGTATTCACATAATTCTATTATTAGTATTTTCATAATCCTATAAGGTGATGTTGGTTTTCTGATAGACGTTGATTAGTTGTGCAACTATACATACAAGAAGCTATGGAATACGATAAATTAAAATAAGAGAATAAGCATATGCTAAATACTGTATGTCTTTGAAGATAATAGAAATAATTCGTACTTGCTTAGGAATGTATTTACATTTATTTGTCACAAATTATTCAAGGAAAACAATTGTTTAACTACTGATAATTATATTATAAACGTACCTGAGTTGACTATGGATACACTATTAACGTGACTATAAATTTCGGACTAAGTAATTGATAAGTGAGCATTACATGAACATAATATGTAAGTATAAGCTGAAAAAGTCCCTGCCCTTGCTACCTTACAGTCCTTTGTATGTCAGCTTGTTTTCGTTTCTTATTCCAACTGCGAAGTACAATATTGA